TCAATCTCTTTTTCTATTTTAAAAGGGAAATATCAGGGGTTTAGACCCCTAATATTTCCCCAAAGCCCCTAAAAGTAAAGTCAAAAATAAAAATATTTAATAAAAAATGAATAAATAAATAAAAAGAAATATAAAACATTAAAAAGTTTATAAAAAATAAAATAAAAATAAAATATTTAAATAATTTGAAAAAATTAAAAAAAATTCGGTTTTGGCCTGACATGTTTTTTTTATTTCGGTTTTGTTTTGGTTTTGAAATTTCCATTTCGGTGCGCCTCTACTAATTTGTATTGAGAATGTAGTCCATCACGGGAGTGAGCTTGGAGCAGTGGCTACTTTACAACACACACAGGGACCATGAGGAACAAAAGTAGCCACCCTCCAGAAGAAAGGACAGTGTCAGCACCAATTCAGAAATGATTTGAGGATCTACACCTCAGTGAGGCACAAAAAAAGATACATTTTTGTTATAGTTGAGGTACTTGAATGCATTTTTAAGATTTATCTTCTGAGTTTAGTGTCAGTTTAATGATTACACATTTGTTTAGCAAACTAAATGTCTATCAGATAAGGTTTACATTGACTTTAAGGGGACTGTTTATCAATATTTTAAATTCCACCCTAGATTCATACAACTTTTACCCAAAATTCACACATTTTTCACACAATCCATTTAGCAAAAATGTGTGAAATTATTGGTGCAAGTTGTGTGTCTCTTAGCTAAAAAAACAACTAACAGACCCTTAAGTCTAATGGCAGAGCGCAAGGCCACAACGTCTAACTGAGATTCGCACATTTTCTCACGATTCAGTTAGCAAAATGTGTGAATCTTAGTGAATCTTGGATGAAAACAGAGTAATGTCATTTATTTCCATAGTTTAGCAGCCATATTTAATACTGGAAAATAACTATAGACTTCTACATACACACCAAAGATGAGCTCTGACTTTCTTATTGATGCTTTATTTTTACATTTAGAAAGAGCCGTATTTAAAAAAAAAAAAAAGATTGTGTTATCAAGAAGACAGTAGCATCGCTATCATTTGCAACCTATACCTAGCCCTTAACAAAGATGGCGCCCGCGGTCACGAAAACTCTCAGTCCCTCTCTTTGTATTGGCTGTGGTGATGTCGCCCCCTGGTGGTCCGGCGTCTAGGAGCGGTACCATCTCTCAGCATCACACACGGGAAGGGAATAACAGAAGGCGGCTTGAAGGGTAAGAACAGCGATGCTTTAATATACTTAGCGTGCAAGAAGCCTGAGCGATGGAAATAGGTGTGAATGTTACATCTTGCTGCAGTTTGATGGGATAATGAATGCTGATTGCATCCTTTACATGAATGAACCACCTGTTTTATTCCGGGGCCAGCCAGCTGACCATGGTACTGCAGGATGATAATGGGGATGGCAATGATCAGTGGATCAGCATTTGATCAATAAATCAGATTTCGATCTGTGCATCCTTCTGCCAGCTTGTGTAGATGAGCCAGGCATGTGACACAGCTCAAGGTGAAGCTAGCGGATCAGCTAGAGATGTACTTGTCTATGGAGACAACTGGGTGTGTTATGGTCATCCTGAAGCTGCAAGAAGCAAGGCACATCATTTCATGCTGCATGGACTGGGATACTGGATTCAGCCCCTCTACTTTATAAAATTATCACCTCCTAGTGCATGTGAAATATTGCATTGGGGATTTAAATATTCAGGACTGGTTTGGCACAGCATTACCAGGATGCAGGGATGCCCATGACTTGGTGATTGCTAGGAATTCTGAATCATGCAGCTGACGGATTTCCCTATGCTCATGGTGCTGAAAGCATGCTGCATACAACAAAGTAGTTCATAGTACCGCAGTACACCCGAGTCATTAATCATGCCGAAAATGTAGATTGTGCATTGCTCTGTGTATTCAGGACATACACGTGGTTTATCACTGCAGTCATTCTGTGCAGGAGAACCCATATTTCTGCTGATCACTTATACCAGCAACAGGAACAGCGCACACTGAGGTGCACAATGATGTTCTTCCTTTATTAAAATAGCCAGCAGGAACAAGCTCTATTCTGATGCTTTTCGTGCTAGGCACAGAGTTCTAGAAAAGAATGAGAAAACGGAGAAAGTGCCGTGTCTACCATGGAACGTGTCAGAATAAAAGGTGCTTGCGGTGCACCCGGCCACTGCTTGCTGTGCCCTCCACCCAGCATGGAGGAGAGAGCTAGGGGATCCAACCAACTAATCGATAATGAGCATAGTTGACAACTATTCACATAATTGATTATTATCGATTAATCAGTTAGTTGGTTTCAGCCCTACTTGAATGTTTTTATGTAGGGCACTTATGCACTGTATGCAAAGCACACCAAGATTTAAGAAAGAATACAATATGCGTCAGATAGTGTACACACCTGGATCCATCATGTTTGCGTCCAAGGCTTTGTACCATCTGTGTGCGGCTGTCAAAGCTGAGAACTGGGGAAAGCAGCTCGAGGGCGCACAGCTCCTGCATCTCCATAGAGTTAATTCAGCTACCCCCACACTTCTTCCCACAGCTCCAGGCGCATCAACAACCGGCCCTTTACACTGTATGGAGCAACATGCCGCATGTGAACTAGGTCTAATTATCATGTTGCATCTCAATTCCTTGTTGCTGGTATGGTTGATTGCTTTGGTAGAGGCGAGCCAAGCCAGCACCCAAGTTATATATATATGGAGTGTAAAGTCTAATCCAGAGGTGGGCAACTCCAGCCCTCCAGCTGTGCTTTAACCACAAATCCCATCATGCCTCTGGGAGTGATGCCTGTGGATTCTAGTCTTGCCATGCCTGATGGAACTTGTAGTTCCAGAACAGCTGAGAGGCTGGAGTTGCCCACACCTGGTCTAACCTGACCTGGAGCGAAGTGAGGAATATGTGGCTATTTCTCTGCTGGTTTTCCTTGTGCCCTTATTTGCATTGCTCCCATATTTGATCCATTAGCTATCAGAGCAGGCCATTAGCTACTGTTATACCGTAGTCTTAGCTATCTATGTTGTAGCAGCAGATTAGTATACTAAACGTCCTATACATCCATTATAGTTTTATATGGACCTCATAAACTAAAAGTGCCAAATAATGACCACAAAACACATTGGAGTGATGTACAGCTGGATTGAAATGAGGGTGGATGTTATAAAGTATATTCTTATTTGTTTGGATAGACTAGGGCAGCAGCATTTCTCAAGTTTTTTTCAGTCATGGCACCCTATAAGGATGTGAAATCTTGAGGCACCCCAGTCTAAAATGTATTTATTACAGGTATTTATATAGTGCTGACAATCTACACAGCACATAGCGCACATTCATATCAGTCCCTGCCCTCAAGGAGCTTACAATCTAAGCAGTGGCGGACCTAAGGAACAAAGGGCCCTGGTGTAAGATTTTTTTTGCCCCTCCCCCCCCAAACAAAAAAACCACAAACGCAGCGCTCAGCCGGCTGTCACTTTCTCTCCTCCCCGCTTTCCTGCTGGGACACAGAGCAGCGCCCAAAAGTTTTGGCTGTGGATATTCTTCATTTCTTCCAGGAGCAATCCTTGCTGTAGTAACAATCAAACAGTTTGAAGGTGCTTTTCATTGATGTCACCACACTCATAGTCCATTGACACTAGGGATGCACCTGTACCGAGTATTTGGGCAAGTACTCGTACTCGCCCAAATGCTCCGATGCCTACACCGATACTTCCGGTATCAGGAAGCCGGGCAGCGCGTCATTACACACTGCCCGGCTTGCTGATTGGCCGGGGGATCGGGCTCCATGCTTTCTCATCACTTGTGTAATGACGCGCTGCCCGGTCGGAAGCTGGCCAATCAGGAAGCCAGGCGCCATGTAATGATGAGGCGCCCGGCTTTCTGATTGATCAGGAGGCCGGCTTCATGCTTCCTCGTCACCTCATGACGAGGGAGCATGGAGCGGGCTTCCCAGCCAATCAGGAAGCCGGGCAGCGTGTAATGACGCGTTGCCCGGCTTTCTGATTGGTCGGAAGCTAGCGAATCAGTAAGCTGGGCGCCGCGTCATTACACAGCGCCCGGCTTCCTGATTGGCCAGAAAGTCGGCTCCATGCTTTCCCTTCGCATAGTGACAAGAAGCATGGGGACGGCTTCCCTGCTAATCGGGAAGCCAGGTGGCGAGTCTTTACACGCTGCCCGTCTTCCCAGGTAATCAGGAAGCCAGGTGGCAAGTCATTACACACCACCTGGCTTCCTGAATGGGACTTCCGGTACTCGGTATTCCGTATCGGCGAATACCGGGGAAAAAAAATATCAGTACTCGTACTCCATACCAAAATACCAGTGTCGGTGCATCCCTAATTGACACTTCCTTCCGACTATGTTACTAAAATCTGTACCTGGGTATGGACATGGACGGGAGGAAGAGCATTGTGCCTGTGATCCACTGATCGCGGTTGCAATGCTTTACTGGCTACTATGCAAAAATATAATAAATGCACATTTTTTTCTTTTATGAAGGAGTGTGCATTTATTGTTTTTTTTTTTGTAAAAGGTAGAATTTCCCTTTAATATATGGGGGCAAATGATATTCATGATGGACAATGTGGGCCTTAGCTGTCATTTACATTGTGGAATAGTTGGTGCTTAATATGCTGACTGACAATAGATATCAGCAGAATGTTTATGTATCATTTTCTGTAGGGTTTTACACCACTCATTGCAGATCAATATGTTCTGGGAAGACACGTGTGTTCTAGGCTCTAATGGTCCTGTGAAGCTCATATCATATGCACGACTGATGTTCATTCAATGACAAGGGTAGTTGTCTATTGAGGGAAAATCAATAGTAGTAGATTAGCCATACAATAAAGTAGAAGACATCTGTTCTTCAAGATGTACTCACTTCTATGTGACCATCATTGGATAGTCCTTGTCAAGGGAGAGGTCCCAAATTCATTTGTTATTATAAGGAATCAGTAGAATTAGTTGTGTCTTTGGAATTCAGTGTGTGTGCATTCTGAGAACCACTAAAAGAGCATTTCATGGACCCGGCTTTACTTGCACTTCCCACTTGGTAAAACGGGAGTATTTCCCAATGGCCAAAGTCAATGCTGGTGCAAGGGAACATAATGAGCAATAGCCAGTGCTTGTAAAGTTTATTATTTCAGTTTGACAATTTTTAGTATCATATTTACAGAGAAGCCGTAATATACTTTAACCTTAAAGTGACACTAAAATGTTTAGTAATGACAATCTACAAACACATACTTTTAGATGTGTATACAGGCTTTGTATACTTTGCATTCTTTATTTCTCTTCCCCAGTCTTCTGACAGTGGCTATGTTTACTAAGGGCAGATTACTAGCTCTCCCTTTACTTTCTGAAACTCTGGCACATGTGACTAGGACATGTGACCATGCACATCATCTCAGGGGAGGAAAATGCCTTTCCCTGAGATCTCCTGAGTTTACAGATTTCCCAGCAATGCTCTGCTGATGACAAGGCAATCCCAGTATGCATTGCTTTGGCAAACTGAAGTCATTTTGCCCTTTCAAAGCAGGAAGTGAATGCTCTGCAAGTGTAAGTATTTCAAAATCACAGCATTTTACACCTGACATGTCTGTTATTATTAAAGGTGAACTATGAGGTGAGTGATTTTCACTCAACCTCATAGTTCGAGCCGACGTGTGACAATGAAAATGTCACAGGTCGGCGCAATAGATCGGGAAGTGAGTGAACCCATACCGTCGCTCGCTCACTTCTCGATCCTGTCCATGAAGAGAGCGGTGACTGTCACTCACGGCTCCCTGCAGGGGGGGGGGGTTGGTGGGGGACAGCTGGCTCTGCCTCTAGATAGGCAGAGCCAGCTGTCAATCACGCAGCTGGGTGGATCTCGACATTAATGTTGGGATCCGTCCCGGTTGCGTCGGTCTCAGTATAGCGCGAGCTGTAGCTTGCGGTATACTGAGCTTTGGGTCACGGAAGGACGCTGGTTTATGTCCTTCCGTGACCCTTAGGAGAACTATGGGAAAAGCACTGACCCCATAGTTCTACTTTAATCATCATACATAGAGGGATGCATTGGTAGAATTTGATTTTTGAGTGTAAAGGTCCACTTTAACTATTAACAAAAATGTATTTCATTTGTGTATCACTCAGTTGTAGATCCTCAAATCATCTCTGAATTGCTGCTGACACTGTCCTTCCTTCTGCAGTGTGGCTACTTTTGAGTGATACACAAATAAGCTACATTTCTGTGAATAGTTAGTGTACTTGAATACATTTTTAAGATTTAACTCCTGAGTTTAGTGTCACTTTAAATCTGAAAATCTGTTCAGCCCTGTCCACTCCTGCCCACTGTGTCCCCATTGGCTTGAATATAGTCGTATACCAGTGCTGACATGTGCTCTTTTTAATTTTTTGTGAAGTCCACTCTTACGCCCAGAGATTTTAAGGGCTCAGGTCTATGGAAGTTGATTTCCTGCACTTGGTGCCGGTTCAAAAACACATAAAATTCAGGTCAGTTAAATGGCCCGTTGGCTTCAATAGAGTAGTATATGTGACAGTTCAGAGTCTGCGTTTGACCTGCTTTGAGTTTCTTTGCACAGCATGTCCTATTGAGGTGTGTTTGAACTGCAAGCAAATCAGCCTTTTCTTGTCCAAAGCTGGCCATACACCTATAGATTATCTGCAGATTTTCTATGGTCAGATGGAAAAATTACAACAGACTCATCCATTTATGCTAAACTGTGTGTATGGAGGAATCTACCACTGGGCCAAGCTTCAGTATCTTGCTAGTCGGCCCCGCTGGCGCTGGTACCTGAACAATCTAATTGGATGCAGCCCTTGTTCAGGTACTTTGAGCCGACTAGCAAGATACTGAAGCTTGGCCCAGCGGGAGATTCCTCCATCCACACAGTTTAGCGTAGATGGAGGAATCTGTTGCACTTTTCCCATCGGACCATAGAAAATCTGCAGATAATCTATAGGTGTATGGCCAGCTCAAGGCAGCATTTTATTACATTTATTTATTACAGGTATTTATATTGTGCCGACAATTTTATGCAGCGCTTTACATACTGTACATTCATATCAGTCCCTACCCCCATTGAGCTTACAATCTAAGGTTCTATTTCAATGAATTCGCTAGAGATTCAGCATTCGCTGTGTTTGAGGGCCCATTCACACCATATGTGTTCAGGCGGTGCTGCCATATTTCCAGCACAGTCCGAGCGCACAACAAGGCAAGTTACCTTGTCATGGGAATAAGCATCGTTACGGGTGGCCAAAGTTCATACCAATGTGTTGCAGTGGTGTACGTTTAAAAACGTATGGCAGGCAGTACTTTGTGCAATACTATGTGCCCATAGAACTCAATGAAATGTCAATAAAGTTTGTACAAAAAAAAGAAAAAGAAAGTGCGATGTGGTTCGATGAAGTGCATTGGCACTCTCCGGACACAAACACACCAGCTGCTGGTGTGAACAAGCCCTAAATTGAAACATCTGCGTTTCAAACATCAAGAACGTCCGTCTACATGAGCCCCTACACTGACGTCCTCATTAGATGCCTTAGCTCTCTGGTATTTCCCCAAAACTGATACCAATTTTAAGTGCATTGACTCTTTCAAACCACGTTTTGTTTGAAATCGGTTACAGAACAGATAGATTCTTAGCGACCAATTAGAATAATAATCCATCATTTTTAAAATTGAAAGCGTAATTGAAGTTGAGATCATTGTTAGTGTAATTTCATGGCTTCAAAGAATGACAGTCCCCTTGTAAGAGAAGGGATTGCTTGATTGGCATGCGTAAACAGAGGGTTACTAAGAACAATGGTTCAGAAGAGGGTCAAGTAGTCATCTGTGAGTCGCTGGGAACAATTACATGATTGAGACTGGAGTGTGCATGAGATCAGGGTGTGCATACCTGACTTGAGGTTAATTAGAAAATGCTAACTGTAACTTTGATTGAGTCTGATTACTGAAAAAGACAATAATTTTATTCAGCTGAACACCACAATATGCATCCCTGAAAAAAATGAACCTCTGCTAAACGTGGAACTCTAGACCTCAGCTTTTGGGACGGAGCTACTTACAGAATTCATTAAAGTAGAACTGAAGCCAGAGGTTTTTTTCAGTTATGGATAGAGTAAGGAAGGGCTAACCCGTGTCAGTTGTTTTTTTTTCATCTGTGTCCCATTGGGGAAATTCCACTTCACTTCCTGTCTGATAGCCACAACAAGAAATCACTCCAAGAAGAGAGAAATCACTGGTGGTCAAAAGAGTCACCAAAACTAGTATCCTCATTGGAAGATTTCCCATCTATTTCTGTTCTGATGACAACCCATAAGGGTGATAAGGGACACCAGCACAGGACAATATTTCTGTGTCCAGAGACAAGCATCTCTCCCGATCCGCAGGTAATCATGCCATGTACAATTACTTGGGGACAGCCACAGGCAGATGCATCTGTACAGACAGGTTTTTGTCACAGGAATCCCCAGCCGCAGCTTTGATGGTCATGTGATTTTTGGCTGGTTTGTGGCATGCTTGGGAGACAAACACCGAACGGGCCGGTGTACGCCCGCGCCCCCTGCCCGTTCAGCATTGCAGTCATCGGAAGCCCGCCCCTCTGCGGGGCGGGCTTGCGTTGATCGCAAGTATGATCTGCCTGTCCAAGATGGGCAGATCGTATGTTTTTTAAAATTACTTTACAACCCTCGCAAGACAAAAGTCTTGCGAGGGTTGTAAAGTGTATGGCCACCTTAACACAGAATATACCTGTTTGGGCAGAATGGTTTCATGCAGGCAGGAAGATCTCTTCTTATAGCCTCTGGCAGTGAGAAGCCCACTTGGCAGGTATGTCACCTAGCCAGGTCTAATGTTCTTCATACATTACAAGGAAGAAACAAAGAGAACATGGGTGAGCCTAGATTATTTCATCTATTTAAAGGAAACTATGACAAACATGTGCCTTTTATTGCTGACCTGCTGTGGCAAATGCCTGTTTTCTGGTGGTCATGCCTACTCTCTGACTTCACTACTTTCTGACTGACTAATATATTTGTACATCAGGCGTTCTGACTTTATTTGCTGCTCGAATGTCCAATATCCTGAATGCTGAGACAGCCAGATAGCTACCATTTTCAGAAGGTGGTCAGCCGTTGCAGCCAACTTATTCCTCCAATGACCTTTACAATAAGATCTGGCCAAATCAGTTGTGTGGTACTTCATTGTTCAGTGACAGTTCATTCTCCCAGGCCTTGATTTATTGCTGCATGTGGATTCTGATAGGTGATTGTCATCATTTAAATCATGCTGAAAAAAATCATTATACTGTATGTTCAAATACGTGTGGACTGCCTCTGACAGATGCGCCCACTGTCACCCTCTCATTAACTTGAATGGATACAGAGGCCGCATCTGAACCGGGACACCTGGGAATCCTGCTGAAGGAATTCCATGTGAATGCAGCCTAAGAGTAAACTCCATGTTCTGCCATCATTTAAAGGCACACAGTGCACTTGTAATGGGTGTGACGGCTTTCAAACTTTCTACTTACTTTTACAGTTGAAGTTATTTGTCTGGTGCACTTTAAAGGATGGGGGTGCTGGGATTTGGTCTTCTTTTTGTTAGGGATGACTTACGACAGACAGGTGTTTGTTATTACTATTCTGGAGCCCCCTTGTCTATATGTACCCTTCTCTTGGTCATGAGTGGGCAGCACCTTGAAAGTGAACAAGGAGAATGGGAATTGAGAGTCAGTGGTGGGTTGTACATAACTAGAAGCATCAAAATACATTTTTTAAGTCACCCAGTTTGTTTGTTCATTGTGCTTAACCACTTCCTGTCCGGAGCAAATTCTTACATTTGCACACACATGATAACATCTGAATTTTTGGCTGGAAAACAGCTTCAGACCCCTAAACAGTTATATATTTAGTGAAAGCAGAGGCCCTATAGAATTTTTTATGTCGCACGGTATTTGCACAAATGTTTGTCAAACCAGTATTTTTTGGATAAAACACACTAAAATGAAATGTAGTGCACAGAAACGGAATATAATACGGGGTCACGTCGGTTAAATAGATACCAAACATGTCAAGCCTTAAAATTGCGTTCGGCTGTGGAACTGCAAAAAACTACAATAACCCAAATTTCCCGTAGCCGACACTTTAAAAGCTTTTACTGCTCATACATTTAGTATAAGCAGTGATTAATGGCCCTAGAATTATTGCTCTCAGTCCAATGCTCCAACGTTCTTTTTTGCACATAGGCGCACTCGACACATGTTTGCGTTTGTATGTGCGTGTACATGGGAGCGGGGGACTTTAAAAAAATGTTTTTTGCATTTTGAAAACATTTTCTATGTTACTTTAAGTTTACTTTTTCTTTTTTTACACTAAATTTTATTGCTATCACATAGGGGGCTAAACAGCTTTGTTCTTAGCAAAGCACTGTGTGTGACCTTTCCCAATATTTCCTATTCCCACACATTTTGTTTAGTGTTAATGTATAAACATTTATTATCATTTGTATCCAGATGGTTGTTACATGGTAGC